GCAGCAGGTAAAATTCAACTTACCCAGGAGAGACTGCAACAGCCGCAACTGCACCTTTTTTGCCATACGCACAAGCCGAACAGAGACGACCAGATCCAACAATGTATCCAAAGGAAGCCGGCACTTCATGGCCAAAGTGTCGATTTCAATGCCCAGGAACTTCATGGAGGTCGCCGGACTCTCGGTTTTCTCAGGTGACAATGGGATGCCGAACAAACCCGCCACATGTTGCACAGTGGACAGCAAAGTCAAGCAAACTGGGCAGTCCGGCGGGCAAACACACAAGAAGTCATCGAGGTAGTGAATGACATATTCTAAACCGGCCACATCCCGAACAACCCACTCCACAAAAGAGCTAAAGCGCTCAAAAAAGGAACACGAAATGGAACAGCCCATAGGCAGACAACGGTCAACATAAAAAAGTCCCGCCCACTGGCAACCAAGCAAACGAAAAACAGGTGGGGTGAACCGGCAACCAATCGAAAAGCAGCCTCAATATCAGTCTTCGCCATTAAGGACCCCCTACCAAAGCGACGCACCCAAGCCACCGCAGCATCAAAAGAAGTATAACTGACAGAACACAAATCCGGATCAATAGCGTTGTTAACCGAATCTCCCCTCGGATAAGATAGGTGGTGGACAAGCCTAAACTTGCTCGGCTCTTTCTTGGGGACGACGCCCAACAGGGAAACCACCAGCCCCTCCAAAAGGTGGCGAGGAGAAGGGGCCGGCCATCCTGCCCAAAAGAATTTCCTTACGCAATTTCTCCAACACCACCGCCGCAGGCTGGAAAGCAGATTTCAAATTTATAGCCGGAAAAGGGGAAACTTCAACAGCACACAGAATGACAAAACCATCAGAAAAACCAGAAAGAAGAAACTGCGCAGCCACAGAATCCTGATACCTACTTAGGAACGGCAGCATCTTTGCCACCATCACTGGTGTCATCCCTTTTTCCTGAAGAATCTCCGGCACGACCCTTACCCTGCTTGAAACATCTGGAAAAGGGGGTGGGGACCCCCACATCCGGAACATTCATGTCGAAAATGACAGGAGCCTCCGGCACGACATGCACCTTCAGTGAACTGCCAGCAATAGCCCTTTTTCTTAGTGGCCGGTTGTCCCGGGACGGTGGCACCCCCGGCCCCCTCTGAAAAAGGCTGAGAAACAGAACGCGTAGAAGTCAGTCATCAACCTCATCCAAAGGCTAATGTCCCACCGCAAAGAAGGCCGAACCGCCCGATGCTGTCTAAACTGTTTGTCATAGCGGAGCCAAGCCAGGCCCCAGTAAACCGGATGGGCCTCACCTATGGAGTCCAAATAACAAAACAAGGCTGAGCAGTTTTCAGGCGCCTTTTCCCCAATCACGCTGGCCAAAATGGCAAAAGCCTTAAGCCAATTAGAAAAAGTGCGAGGAATAAAAGGCAATAACAACGTTTTTACTCCTCCTCTTTCTTGCTTTTGTCGGCCTTACCCCTGTCCAAATTAAACTTCTCCAAAAGGAAGGAGGGAAAAGATATCAACGTAATCGTCTTTCCAGATACGTTCCCTAACTTCGGCCTTCAAGTGAGCACCCAACGGACCCTCGAAGCAGGCATATACTTCGCAGCGAGCCGCATCTGCCAGACACACCCTATTCCCCTATTCCCCTCCTAGAGACCATCTCACCAGGCGACCCTATCGCCCCCCCCAGAAGGCACAGAAACCCCTGATCCGCAAGGAAGTGGAAGGAGGGGAAGCAACCCATGCCAGCGTTGGTGAGGGAGCAGTAGAATGTGTCTCACATCGAGCCAAGAGGTCCTTAAAACCCGCAATAAATGAATGCAGCACAGAAGCATGCTGCTCCACAGAAGGAAAAGACCTGGAAAAGGGAGGCACAAGCGAAGCTGAAAGAGCTTGCGGCACCAACGACCCACCTAAGGTTTGAAGGACCACCTTGCTAGGATCAGACCCCACAGACAAAAAGGCAATGGCATAGAAAAATCAGTGCATGGCAAAGTGCTGTACTCACCAGGCTGCGCAAGGAGAGCGTCCCGACCAGCCGTGTGTCCAGATCCCACAGCAGAAGAAAGATGCGCCGAATCGTCCTGGGTGCTGCTGTCGCTCACCTCCCCTTCAGACCGGTATCCTGGATCAACCGGGGAAGCAGCTGCAGGGACATTCATATCCCCACCAGGGGAGTGACTCCTGACTGCATGCAGAGGTGGCCTGCCCCAGGACGCAGCCAGTTGGACGCCACCCCTCACACCAGCCGCACCAGGAGGATCGGGGAGAAGCAGCTGTAGGTTCAGCCTGAGTCAGTGGAGCAGTGTAGTTCCCAAGCCGGCCAGCAGGTGGCGCTGCAGCGTAATTCTTCGCTCTGGAGCACCCAGAGCCTCTGCAGACAGCAGCCGACTGAGTGTGCCAGAAACGGCTCCCGCACGTAGCCGAACCTATCCCACGACGGGCCCTCACCCTGGCTGGGGCATCGCCACGGGAGGAGGCTGCGGGCACCGGAACGATGGCAGGAGGGGGGGGGGCAGAGACAGAGGAGGCACTGACAAATCGCCTCTATCCCCGCGGGTCCCGCCGAGGACGGGGATTCCTTCCGGCAGCAGCGACAGCAGAGGTAGGGCGGCGCTTAGCTGGCCGAAGGATCCCGACTGGGGCTCCCTGAGCGGCGCTGGACCCTGTGGGTGGCAGAAGGGCTGAGGCGCTCAAGAAGGTGACCCCTCCTATCATGTGTAGCCCTGGGAAGGGCAGTACTCACAGGAATAGACACCTGCATCCTATCGAGCTGTTCCTGCAGCCAGGGAGAACCATTAGATTAGGGCTGCTGCCCTAATCTGAGACAGCATGTCTTCTAAATCACTCATGTTTTCGATCCGACAGGAGCAGAAGGTGAGAAAGCCAAGAGGGACGCTACTTCCACACTGCTGACTCAGTCTGGATCTGGAAACCCCTGTCATGTAGGCCTTCCACAGACGCCTCCGTCTGCTGTTTGTTACGCCTACTGTATATGTTCGGAGCAGAACGCAACTGCGGAGGGGATCTACTGGCGGTGTGGATAATTGGCTTCTCAGGCTTGAGTCTCAGGCGTCACTCCCAGTCTTAAAGGGGAGTTTGAGACTCTTGCATCACAGCCGGTAGCAACAGAAATATAAGTCGGGCTATTTACTTCATAGCATCCCACACTTAGTAACAGAAAAGTCAAAGCTGAACTAGCATATAGTTGCAGTAATAAGGTTCTACTGATGTATAGTTAAGCAAGCAGGAATTCCCAATACTATGAGGCTAGTCTATGCGCCCAGTCTTGACACAGGTATACAGGAGTGCTGACAGTCTGTATTAGGCTCCAACTGGAGCGATACTTGCGGTTAGAGCTGGTGCTTCCGGCAGGAGCGAGGCGGCCTGGCCCCGAGGGGAATCATCACAGTACCCCCCCCCCAAAAAAGGGAACACCCCCGGAGTTCCTAGCAGGAGCGGGTCGATCAGGATATCTACGATGGAAAGCCCCGGTCAGTCGGGGGGCATGCACATCTAGAGAGTCCTCCCAGGAGTCATCAGATGGACCATAACCCTTCCATCGTATGAGGTACTGGAGGGAAGAACCCCGCTTTCGGGAATCCAGTATCCTCTCGACCTCGTACTCGGTCTCGCCCTGTACCTCGACAGGAGTAGCGGGGGGAGGTTGGATGAACTCGCCAGTCTGGGGGAAGGATGAGTCGAACTGCATTTGGGTTCAAGACTTTCTCAATGGGGAAAGGCCCAACGAACTGTCGGCCCAGCTTGCACGAGGGTACGTTGACACGTAGGTTTCTTGTGGACAGCCAGACTTTGTCGCCCACTTGGTAGGTAGGAGGGTTAGTCCTGCGCGTGTCGTAAAACCCTTTCTGCCTGTCCTGGGCAGCCTTCAGATTAGTCTGTAAGCATTCGGAGGTTTTCTCCAGAGATGTCAGGTAATCCTGTACTGAGTGATGGTAGACGGTTTGGGTGAAATCCGTAATTGGCGTAGAAAAGGGGTATGTTGAGAGGAAGAGTTGGTGGTGTTATTGTGGGCAAATTCAGCGAGTGGGAGGTCATACCAGTCATCTTGGAGATGGGTGCAAACATTGGTTTGTTCTTTCGGTCTGACCATTGGTCTGAGGAGGGTAGGCAGTTGACATCCTGTGATCTATCTGGAGCGTCTCGCATAGCGTTTTCCAGAACTTGGACACGAACTGGCTCCCCCGATCGGATACGATCTTGGTAGGTAGGCCGTGTAATCTGAGGATCTGGCTAACGAAGGCGTGAGCCGTCTCTTTTGAGGTAGGCAGTTTCTGCAAGGGAGAGAAATGGGCCATTTTTGTCAACCGGTCGACTGTGACCATGATGGTATTGCACCCCCCTGAATTGGGTAGGTCCCCAATAAAATCGATGGAGATGGCCTCCCACGGTCGTTTTGGTATGGCCAGAGATGTCAACAGTCCATAAGGAGGTCGACGCTGGTGTTTAGTAGCAGTGCAGATGTCACAGGTGACCACGTACGTGTAGATGGTTTTTGTCATGCCTGGCCACCAGAAACTTCTCTTGACTAGATCTATAGTTTTAGAAACTCCAGGGTGCCCGGCTAGAGGATTATCATGTAAGAGGCGGATCAACGAAGTTTGTATCGTGGGTAGTATGTATAACCTGTCTCCTTTGAAAAACAGCCCATCATAGCCTTGAGAGAGTCCAGAGGGAAGAGAGGAGTCCCCGGTGGACAGCTTGTTTTTTTAGCAGCTGTGTGAACTGAGTGGTAAGTCCTACGAATCGTTCAGGGGGAATCAGGAAGGTAGGCTGGTCGGGGTCTGCCCCCTCCTCAGTTATGCGGGAAAGAGAATCCGCCTTCCCGTTTCTTGATCCAGGACGATAGGATATGTGCCATCGGGGGCGATACCATATCCGAGGAACGAGATAGCTGACTGTTCGAAAACACATTTCTCCAGCTTGACTTACAATGAGTGGGCCCGGAGGCGTGCCAGAACCCATCGGACGTGTTTTCAATGCTCTAATGGGCTGTTTGAGTACACCAGGATGTCATCCAGGTATATGATGACACAGATGTCTAGCAGGTCCCTGAAGATGTCATTCACGAAATGTTGGAAAGTGGCAGGTGCATTACACAACCCAAAAGGCATCACAGTGTACTCAAAAAGACCATACCTAGTCTTGAACGTGGTTTTCCACTCGTCCCCTGCCCGAATCCGTATTGGATTGTATGCTCCTCGGAGATCCAGTTTGGTGTAGATTCGGGCAGTCTGTAACCTCTCAATGAGTTCGGGGAGAAGAGGTAGTGGGTACCGGTTTTTAACGGTTATCTTGTTGAGCCCCCGGTAGTCGATTATGGGTCGCAGGGCACCATCTTTATTCTTCACAAAAGAACATCCCTGCGCTTGCAGGGGAGGTGGATGGCCTGATGAACCCTTTCTTGAGGTTGTCATCCAAGTAGGTCTTTAGGTGTGCTATTTCTGGTTGTGAGAGGGGTAAACCCGTCCAGAAGGAATGGGACTGCCTGGGACTAGCTCGATGGGGCAGTCGTAGGGCCTATGAGGCGGCAGTGTCTCTGCCAACTGTTTGCTAAATACATCAGAGAATTCGAGGAGATAAAAAGGTGGTAGGCTCTCTGAAGTACTTAACATAACGGGTGAGACGGGGTAACACGTTTCTGTACAGTATGGAGACCGTAACCGGACTGTTCTCTCTGACCATAGTATAGTGGGATGGTGAAGAGTCACCCAGGGCAGACCCAATCCTATGGGGAATATCGGAGAAGGAATCACATCGAACACGAGGTATTCGGTATGCCCCTCCCCATAGGTCACCAACAGTGGCTGAGTGTGGGACGTTATTGGGCCAGATGGGGAAGTAGACCCGTCAATGAAACTTACTGACAACAGTTTATGCTTTAAACACATGTGGTATTTTATTCCGCTGTACAAGGGTTTGGTCTATGAAATTACCGCAGGCCCCGGTATCCACCATCGCCTCAACGATGATCCTCTCTTGATCCCACTGTAGGGTGAGAGAAACGTAGAGGTAAGGGTTATGTTGGAGAAGACTGGGAGTAAGTTTGCAAATGTGAGAGAGAGAGAGACATTACCTTCGGTCTTCCTCTTTACGAGTGGACACGTGGCTACTGTATGATCGGGTGATGCGCAGTAGAGGCACAGTTTGAGAGAATGTCTTCTATTCTTTTCGGTTGAAGAGAGAGGTCCCCTCATGGCTCCAGCCTCCATAGGCTCCTCCTTCTGTGGTGATCGGGATCTCCTAAATGGTGTGGTGTTGCTGTAGACCTTTTCTGCCTTTCTTTCCCAGAGACGTCGACCTTTATGCGGTTGTTGTGGTAGGTTCGGGGGCGTAGGTCAAATAATAATCTACAGGAACTTATAAACTGACGGAAGTCCTTCCTATCCCCTGAAAACGGTTCCGGAGCGCAAACTTTGGGTTCAGGACCCTTGCGACCCCGTGCTGCGTCTGCATTTTGGTGAACTAAGGTGCGCAACCTCTGGTTCTCAACTTGGAGGTCCTGCATGGAGGTGGTCAAAGTCTCCTCCCTCTGGGATAAAGTAACAAGATGTTTCGTCAGCTCCGCTGGATCCATTTCCTTCTTTTTCAAAGAAGGGGGTTCTACAATTCTGTCACGCCTACTGTATATGTTCGGAGCGGAACTCAACTGCGGAGGGGATCTACTGGTGGTGTGGATAATTGGCTTCTCAGGCTTGAGTCTCAGGCGTCACTCCCAGTCTTAAAAGGGGAGTTTGAGACTCTTGCATCACAGCCAGTAGCAACAGAAATATAAAGTTGGGCTATTTACTTCATAGCATCTCACGCTTAGTAACAGAAAAGTCAAAGGTGAACTAGCATATAGTTGCAGTAATAAGGTTCTACTGATGTATAGTTAAGCAAGCAGGAATTCCCAATACTATGAGGCTAGTCTATGCGCCCAGTCTTGACACAGGTATACAGGAGTGCTGACAGTCTGTATTAGGCTCCAACTGGAGCGATACTTGCGGTTGGAGCTGGTGCAGAGCAGCGCTATAGCAGAGGTTAAGTCCAAGTGCATAGGTGGTCTTTCACATTGGGTGTGGGGGTCCAGACAGGCTTGGTTCAGGAGGCAGCAGGCGTTCTGACTCCAATTGTAGAACGCCATGCTGCCTCAGCTGGGGCTTTAAATAGCCCAAGGGTGAGGGAGGAGCCGCCGGCCGGAACGAGCGACTTCCGGGTTCCACCGTGGAACGCAAGCTGCTCGCCTCACAATCAGGAAGTCGAGCGGCTTCCACATTCCACCATGGAATGCGGAGTGGCCATCGCAGAAGTCGGCAGGACCGAGGTGGCCTGGCCCCGAGGGGAATCATCACACTGTTCCAGGCCTGTCTGGTGAGGGACTATTTCCGAAGACATGCACTTTCATGCAGTATTCAATAATTTAATTGTTTATGTAGTTGTCACCGCACCACAGAAACCTTAGGAAGTTCCTATGGTCTTCTCGTATAATAAAGCAATGACATATTTGTTCAATGTCAGCAGTTATGGCAACTGGCTCTCTTCTGAACCTCATGAGTACACCTACAAGGTTGTTGGTTAGGTTAGGGCCAGTGAGAAGAACATCATTCAGGTATACGCCTTGATGCTTGGCACTGGAGCATTACTACCTACCACCCTGATTTGTTTTGGTTCACGTGAATGATACACTCCGAAGAAAGGCAGATACCAACACTCGTCATGTTCTTGCAGAGGTGGAGCTGGCTCTGCATGATCATTGTCAAAGATCCTTTTCATAAAGCCAATTTATGTACTCTAAGAATGTCTCTTCCCAGCAAGACTAAGATTTCTTCATTCTTGTTCATTGCAGGAATCTTGTTAAGCCTTAAGTGGGGATGGTGATATGCAACTTCTCGAGTAGGAATTTCTTCCCTATTGTCTGGTATCTGGTCACACTCAACTAATGTTGGCAAGGGTATGCCCTTCTTTCCTTTTGATATGGGAGACCATTAACTCTTCGGCCCTTCTTCCAAAGGTCTCTACACGACTAGAACAGGTGTTGAGAGTATATGGTGTTGCATGTCCATTTATGGTAAAGATCTCAAAGAATTTGGGTTTTACCAGGGATCTGTTGCTCTGTTCATCTATTATGGCATACATCCTGGTAGCTTTCTCAGGTTGACCCTTTGGATATATCTTGACTAGGCATGCCTTGGTACAGCATTTGTGATTTAAGCTTTCGCCCCAGACTTCTGTACATGAAAGAAACATTTGTGACTGGAGCATGGCTTTTGGTGGTCCCCGCCATGATTTGAGGCAGGTCTGGATGTAGGTGGCTGCTCTGGGTTGTCTGGAAGTGGAGAAGGATGCATAGCTGTAACATGTATGTCACTACTGCATTCTGTGCACTTGATGACAACTTTATAGTTTTTAGCAAAATGATAATAGGAAGCACAGCACCTATAATATATTCCAGGTTTCTGGAGAATCTCTCTGCGCTCTTGTAAAGTAATTGTCCTAAGCCCAGGACATTTCTTAAGAGAGTGAGTTTTCTTGTGAATAGGGCACTGACGATTAGGGTCTTTATCTCTATCACCCGAAACACTTGTATCAGTAGAAGATATGGTAGATGGGATTTCTGTCTTTTAACAGATACTGCTCTATTTAAGTCTCTAAGTTTAGCTGCTGTTTAATCATACCTTGATGATGAAGCAGGCAAATTGGGTTCAGTGAAGCTGATGCTTGGATCATTTCTCATGCAGGCTTGATCACTGATGAACCTGCAAAAGTATGAGAATGGAGGAAAAGATACACTATAGTCTTTTTTGTATTTTGAGCCTTGTTGCGCCCATTTCTCTTGCGGGCCGTATGGCAGTTTAGACAACACTGGATTCACATCATGAGCTTTGTCCAAGAAGCTTAGTCCAGGTAGACATGGGTCTGTCTTTGCCAACTCTAGCTCCATGAGGAGGTTACTTAGTTCTTGGAGCTTGCGATGATTTTTGTTACCTATTTTTGGAAAGGTTTGCAGTCTCTTGAATAAAGCACTTTCTATGGCTTCAGAGCTACCATAAGTTTGCTCATCTCTTGCCCTTGCAGCAACAAGACCTGCATATGGGTAGTCAACATGTACTGCGCTCAGTCTTTTAACATGATCTGCAGATTCTGGCCCCAGCCTCTTTAGGAGCAAATCAAGTTCCTCCTTGGCCATAAGGTTGAGATCAACAATAGCAGCCTTGAAGGTTGATCTACGGGCCCTGTAGTTCTCTGGACAGTCATCGAACCTTGAGAGTCTAATGTTTATGAGCTTGTTGTGAATCCTATATCTGGCGAAGTCAGACAGGTCTGATCTCTAATCTCTTTGGTGCCAAAGTAACTGGTGGAACCCCTAGGGCATGACAGTTCTCTAGTCAAGAAGGGTGAGGTATATCAGGATAAAATAACATTGCAAGAGCGTTTAGCTGTGGTTTAGTCTCGAAGGGTTCTGCTGGCAGTAGCTCAAACTGTGACTTGTCTCTGGGAGTCACCTTGTTCTGGCAGAACGTGATGTGGTTTGTGGTATAAATGCACTTGTGTTGTGGATTTGAAGAGACTCAGGCATTTCGAACTTTGGTGTCTCTGTGTTGAGTCAGAACAGTGTTAGGAGGTACAGGAGATGGTTCTGTATCATTGCAAACATTATGCTTTAGCACATATTCACTGGTGCATTAAACTGGGTCTTCCAGCTCTGCTGGAATAGAGCAGTCTGAATTAGCACTTTGTTCCATTGCTTGTTAGAGAACTTTCAGCCTTGCTAGGGCAACTGCTTCCTCCCTTTCCATTTGCAATTTCTTTATTTGGGATTCAGCCTCTGCTTGACAAGCTGCCATTTCTGCTTCTTTTCTAGCAAAGAAGCTTCTCACTTTATTTGCTTCCAGACATGTGCGGGCCTTCATTAACTTGTCACTTAATGTTGAACTTCTGGAACAAGAGGATCTAAAAGAACGTACTGTGAGCTTAGTTGATGTGTAGTTGATGTGGATTTATGTGATCTGGTCTCCTGCAGATAGGCAATGCAGAGTTCTGCCTTTTCCTTAGCATCTTGCACTAATAGATTTCTTTGTTGGTTTAGTGCATCAGTCTTGGTTAGTTCTGCTGAAGAGTCCTTTAAGAAAGCTGTGTATTTTGCAGACAGCCGACGGTAACGTTCATAAGCTGCAGATAGGTGATCTATAGGAGTCTCTTAATTCAGCTGGTTGATCATTAAAGTGTGGCAAAACTGACATGCAGTGTGAAGTTTTGTGCCATAGGTCTGACAGATGGCTGGAGAACTCCTCTCTAGTGCTTTCATAGTTTTCTCTGAGTTTCTGTGTTGGTTTTATTGTGCTTTTGGGTTTTACACCCTGTACATCTGTGTGGTCAGAAGCATGATGTATCTGCATTTGTTCCGCAATAATGGAGTGCTCAGAGCCTTGTCTAG